GATGGGCGTCGGATTGGCGCGGGCCAGATCGACTCGCGTCGAATCGGCGCGACGCGCGAGCCAAATGGGCGCCGAATCGGCGCGCCCGTGCTGCCGATTGACCTGCTGAGCGTGCAATGTGCTTTGCGGGGGCAGATCGGGCAACGGCGGATAGCTAATCGGGAACAACGGGGAGATGCTCTCCGCGTCCTCCGCGGCGCATTCATGGGGCGCGCGAGAGCCGGCCATGAGTGCGGCTGTCGGCGCGCGCGTGGGCCGTCGCGGAAGAAGTTCGGATGGTGGTTTACTTTGCCAGGCGACCGCGAACAGTCCGTCCAGTCATCGGCGCCGATGCTCGCGCCGTTGTTGTTCCCTTTGCGGCCCGGAGTGCCAGGGCGCGTCGCAGTGGCAGAGACGCAGTGGCAGTGCCCGCCTCTATGAACAGCTTGTGGCACTAGGCCGACGACGCAAGAAGGTTGAAACCGCGTAGGCGCTCTGGAATAGGCAGCGCGATGACGTGCTGCCCGGGCCCCCCCAGTCAGAAGTCGGAACCCCGTGGGCGCGACAGTTCGCGTGGAGCGACGAGCTGGAGCAGGTCAACGTCAGTTGGCCGGGGTCGTAGCCATCGTGAATGGTTTAAGGTCGCAGGCCGTTGGTCTCCCCCGACCCCCGACTCCTCGACGAAAAGTAATTGCCGCGCAGGAAGGGAAGGGGGCCCAGGGGGTTCGCCCCGATGAGGGCTATTCGGACGCGCCCCGTCGAGGGCGGGCGCCCCCCCCCCGTCGTGCGCCCCAGGGTCGGGCCGCGATTTCAGATTCATTCGGAAACCCCGCGAAGCGCGGGGTAGGGTCGACATGTCCCCTGTTAGGATGATGGAACCGCGCCGCCCTCCAGGGGCAGCTGAATATTGCGGGTGGTCGAGCCTATTCGAATGGCGACGTGATCTCTGTGCGCGAAACTGCGCTGCTTGGCCCGCGGGCGCAGGTCGGGGGCGCGCGCGAAAGACGCGGGGCATGCGAACATGTAACGGCCGACGGCAATGACCAGCTGCAGAGCCACAGTGTGATGAACGCCGTGGGTTTGGATGGGATTCCACGTGAGGTGGCTGCTGAGTTTGCCGGGATTGGTAAGTTGGTCGGCGCGATCAGCGAAGGAGTTAAAACTTGCCATCGCGAGCGCGCCGCGCTGATAAGGGCCCGGTGGCAATGAGGCCGAACATGTTGAATGTCGAAGCCTGCCTGATGCACCGTAGTTCCGATTATGGAAGCAGGAAGTGTACGGGGTGACGAGCTCTGCCTCGGGTTGACCAGGTGAGTGCTTCACTGGGCTCCGCGTGATTGAGGAGATTGCAGTGGTATATGGGCCTCCTCCCGGACACGGCCGAATGCGAGACTTTCGATGCGAAAACAGCCGCAGCGCGCAGCAGCGCCCCCGTGCATGATGACCTCGTAGAGAAGGAAGGTCAACGCACGGAAGGAAGAAGCTGATGCCAGCGTCTGGCTCGCCTAAGGACGACCAGTCCATTTTCTGTGCGATCCTGGGTCGGCACGGGCTGGTGGAAGCAGACGGCTGCGTCTTTGACATCGCCCGCCTCGAGGCTGTTGACGTGAAAGCAGTGATCTCAGCGAGTTCATTGGGGATCGGGGCTGCGCTCTCCTGGGCATGAAAGCTCTGCCGGAGTCGTCCATTCTCGCATCCTTCGTCAGTGCGCAGATAGAACATCGTCGTGTTCTCGAGTGGTACGGGGACATGTCGCAGGGTGGAAAGAGACGATCCAAACGAATGCTACGAGTGGCTGTGCGACAGGGGCGGCGATTGCCTAGAGTGATAGCGCCTGCAAGCGGTGCGCAGGGAAGTTGTGCTGGTGGATAGGGGCCGCTCAGCCATGTCCGCAAGCGAAGGGGCGCGCGGCGATTGGGCCCAGAAAGGCGCGCGCGCGTCGCAGGGCTGCCCGCGGCGTCGCCCAGAGCGCGCGGGGAGGGGGAAGACACCGGGGCTGGCTAACAGGCTGGGGGCCCGCAAGATCCTTGAAGAGTTCGCCCGCCAGGAAAGTGCTTCAAACCGCGGTGCGAGGAGGCGCGGGCCGACGCGCTGGCGCCGCCGTGGCAGGGGGCGCTGTCGCGGAGACGCACGCGCTCGTGCGCGCGCGGGCGTCGGCGGAGACGGGCCCGCGAAAGCAGCGCGACAGGGTGGCGCCCCAGATCGCTCGGCCTCAGGAAGCCGCCCTCGCCAAGGCGACGAAGCACTTGGCGGTCCGTCTCAGCCTGGCCCGTCGGGCGGGGGGGGGCGGCGCCCTGCCGGCCCGCGGCGGGGGGGGCCCTTCCCTGCGAGGACCGACCAGGGTTGCTCTGGGCCGCAGAGGTAGGGCGCCCCCTCCGAAGCCCGCTCGCGGCCGCGAGCGATCGGCGTCCAACGTCTCAGGGCGAAGGCGCTCGAGCGAGCCCGCGGCGGCGCGCGCGCGCTGGCGGCCGAAGCTGCCTTCGCGGCCGCCGCTTGTCATCCCCCGCCGCCCCCCGCCGCGGGGGAACAGAGGGGCGCGGGGCGCCGGGGGGGCGGGGCAGCGGCGCGCGCTTTCGGCGGGGAAGGCTGACGCCGAGCACTCCGCTGGATCGCCCCCCCCCGCGGCGGCGAGAGCTGTTGCTGGGCGCCCGCCGAGGTCTTTTTTTCATTGCGCCGGATCAGTTAGCCGCGGAGCGTTTACCGCGGTGCGTTTCCCCTGCCGCGGGGGAATATGCGCCGTTCGTCCGCCGATCTCATTGCCGCTGCTGGTGTCGCCTCGACATCTTCGCAGGCCTTCTTACGCCGCGGCGGCGATGGCCGGCGCCGAGCACTCCGCTGGGCCACCCCCCCTTGCGACGGGGGGAGCTGCCGCGGAGCGTTCGCCGAGGTCTTCCTAAATTGCGGCGGAGAAACGTGGCGGGGAGTGTTCGCCGAGGTTTGTCTCCGTTGCGGCGGGGGGGGCCGCCGCTGAAGTACTTGCGGTAGGGGGCCCGACGCGGTGGCGAATTTGCTTGCCGTGGCGCGCCGCAATGCTCGAGCCGCGTTGTGCCCGTGGAGGCGCCGGGTGTCTTCATTCTTCGTGGCGCTAGCGCCTGGGCCGCAGGCATTGATGGATGCGAGCTTATGCTTTTCGTGGTGAGTCTCAGTGGCCCAGCGCTCGGCGTGCTCTTTCGCCCCGCTGCTTGCTGCCCTTCTTAATGCGTTCAGGAGTCGTAGACGCGGCTGGCGCGCGGCTTGCGTTCGCGTCCGACTCAGGGTCGAGGCCCCAGCGGCCCGCGCCAGGCGCTTCCGAGCCCGCTCCTGAGGAGGTGCCGCCCGCGGGGTCCTGGAGCCAACGGCGAAACTATTATTGGGGGCGGGCGTTCATGTCCCTTGGACATCCTGCAAAACAGCGTGGGGGCCGCTGGGTGGCATTCTTCGGCGTCGGGGAAATCTGATGCGGGGAGGCTGGGTCTGCGCATCTCGAGCTCATCGGCTTCGTCCTTGATTTTTTTCTTGGTGTCGCATGTTTCTCGTTGGCCCCGTCAGTCGTCTCATTTTTTGCGTCTCTCGTCGCTCTTCCTCTTGCGGTTGGATCCGCCTTGACATGCTGTTTTTCCCAGCCCCGTTTTCGTGGGTCATGGGCATCGTCGTTTTGGCTGCAGCGTTTTCCTGTTCTGCTTCTCCCCGCTTTCCCTGCAGCGGAGCCTCCACCGTTGGAGCGACCGCCGCGGAAGAGCGAAAACCTCGTGTGCCAGTCGTGCGCCGCAGTCTTCCTGACAACCATCAGCAGCGGGAGATACTCGGAGCCGCCTGCGGGCGTGGCCGCCCCCCTTTTTCGAAAGGGGGGCGTGTATGTATGTATGTATGTATGTATGTATGTATGTATGTATGTATGTATGTATGTATGTATGTATACATGCATGCATGTATGTATGTATGTATGTATGTATGTATGTAGGTATGTATGTATGTATGTATGTATGTATGTATGTATGTATGTAGATATATGTTATATATGTGTATGTATGTATGTATGTATGTATGTATGTATGTATGTATGTATGCATGCATGCATGCATGCATGCATGCATGCATGTATGTATGTATGTCTGTCTGTCTGTCTGTCTGTCTGTCTGTCTGTCTGTCTGTCTGTCTGTGTGTCTGTCTGTCTGTCTGTCTGTCTGTCTGTCTGTATGTATGTATGTATGTATGTATGTATGTGTATAAATATATATATATATATATATATATATTTATATGTGCTTTCCTCCCCCCCGCAACAGTTTGGGCCAGTGTTCGCTCTTGGGTCTTGCGTGTTTCTTTCATTTTTTCCCCCTGGGTGGGGCCCCGTGGCAATCTTGACCTGGAAGCTTCCGTCCGGGGGTTTTTAGGCAGGGGGCCTTCTCTGCCCCTCGTCATCGTTTTCGGCGCATGGTTATTTTCGACGGTCTCCCCGTCAGAGTTTGGGGGGTCCAGGTTCCATGTGCCCCCTCTCCCCGTCGCCTCTCCTTTCCCCCTCCCCCTGCTGCTGCCATCCTTCGTGCTCGGGCGCGCCGGGGCGGTGCCGCGGCATTCGCGGTTCGTGCGACGGGCATGAAGACGCGCGCGCCCTCCTCCTTCGGTGTCGGCGGGTCGCATTGCAAACGGTTTGCTAGTCGTTTTGTTTTCGGGGCGTTCTCGCGGGTCGCGGCACGGCGCGAGCCCGAGGATCCGACGGGGATTTGTCCGCCTTCGCAAGCGAGCCGCGGCCCGAACCCGGCAAGCTTCCGTTGCCGAAAATCGGGTCGGGCGAAAAGGGGGGTTTGGGAAAGGGGGGGTTCCTCGATGCATAGCCGCCTCGGGCGCCGGGAGGCGCCGGGAAAATCAGCTACGTGAGCTGATTCTGAACCCCTTTGCTATCCCCCCTTTCGCCCGGCCCGAGAAAACAGGGGGTTTTGGCCCGTGGGCAGTTCCGCCCCCGCGCAGGCCCCCGTGCTGGTGCCCGCGCGCAAACTATATGGCGACCGCGGCGCAGTGTTGCCCCGACGTGCCCCGCCCCGCCCAGGGTGAGCGCCGCGGCCCGGGGACCCCCCCCCATGCAGCGGCTGGCGCCGGGCAACATGACAAGCAGTAACTTCCTCCTCCTCCTCCTCCTCCTCCTCCTGCCTCCTCCTCCTCCTCCTCCTCCTCCTACCTCCTCCTCCTACCTCCTTCTCCTTCTCCTCCTCCTCCTTCTCCTCCTCCTCCTCCTCCTCCTCCTCTGCCCCAACCCCACCTGTGTGCCCCCCCGGCGCGTGGCGACGTGTGCGTGTTGGGTGGGTTCAGGCGGAGATCGGCTCGGGGGCAGCCGCCCGTTGGCCGGCTTTCGGGCGTCTCCGCCCGTGGTCGGCGGCTTTCCAGCCTCGGGGCGCCTTTTCCGGCGGCTGCGCTTCGCCGAGGGCATCTTGGAGGTCGGAACGGGTGCGGAACGAACGGGCACGTAGACCGACAGCAGCTCATGCTCATTTTGAACGAAGCCCGCTGTCGGTCTTCCCGCGGGTGTTGCATGTTTGAAACAGCCAGCCGGCTTCCCCACGCTGGCCGCTGTCGGTTTTGGACAACGTTTGTTGCTGGGCATCGCGCCCATGTTTTCGCATTCGTTTCGAGAGGCGGGTGCCCAGATTGCCGCGATCGGCAGCTGGTGGCCCGAGCTACAACCTGACAGCCACCAGGGGATACACTCAGGGGGGACGCATCGACTCCGAACCGCCCATTGATCGCCGATCGGGGCCCGATTGCCCACCCCGCATACGGGCGTGCGGACTCGCTATCGGGCGCCTATCGCCGGTTTTTCGGCGATGCACCACCGATTCGATTTCGGCGTTTCCCACCTGTGGCAGCCCCCCCTGAACATTCCCCCTCGGCCTTCCTCCCTCGGCCTTCCTCTGGCGACGCGTCAGTGGGGGTGCGGCAGAGAAGAAGCCGCCATGGGCTTCCAAGGAACCTCCCCAGAAACCTCCGCGCCCTTCTCGGGAGTCCCCGTGGCCCCCCTGGAAACCACACCGCCTGCCCGGCGAGGTCCGTCAGCAGAGGCCTTCGAGGGCCGTTGAGGCCTCCCACGGTCCCCAAGAGAAGGCCTCTGGAGGATCCTCCTGGCGGCCCGGAGGGGGCCAAAACGCGCTCCCAAGGCCTGTGGGGGCCTCTGCCGGAAGTAGGTGTGGCGTCGTGGGAGTAGGCGTGGCGGAAAGAGCGACAGCAAATGATGGCGGACATCGGCAGCAGAGGACCTTGCAACGTGGGGCGGGAGCTTAACATTTTACGAGATCGCGCGAGAACCACGGCGGATCCGACGTCAGGGTTGGCCCTCCCTCCTCGACCCCCCCGCGCCCTGGCCGTGCAAGTGGACACACAAGGCTCCTCCTCTGGGATCCGGAATCTGCAAGCAACGTTGCGCAGAGACGCCCTCACGGTTCTCGACGCCGATGAATCGGCAATGTGCTTCTGTTGCGCAGCACAGTGAACCCGCGTAGTAAGGATGGGCAGCCTTTCCAAGGGTACCCTTGCTTCCTTGGCCTCCTCGGTCCATCCTCGGCCACTTTCGTTGGCCGCGCCCCGTTCGAAAGGTGTCGACGTGGCCTCCCAAGGTCCTCGAGTCCTTCCCGTGCGTCCCTCTGACACGGGTCGGAGCCCGTCCCGTCCCCGTCCCGCTCCCTGGCCTCTCCACACGGCCCGTGCCACGGACGGCGCCATGGACGGCGCCTGGGGCGCCGCGCGCTGCGCCGAGGCCGTCGGGCGGGGCTGGGACTTCTCAGAGCGTCGTCGTCGTCGTCGTCGTCGTCGTCGTCGTCGTGGTCGTGGTCGTCGTCGTCGTCGTCGTCGTCGTGGTCGGGAGGTCGTCGTCGGGATGTTTTCGTCGTCGTCGTCGTTGTCGTCGTCGTGGTCGTTGTCGGCGCCGTCGTCGTCGTCGTCGTCGTCGTCGTCGTCGTCGTCGTCGTCGTCGTCTTCGTCGTCGTCGTCGTCGTCTTCGTCGTCGTCGTCGTCGTCATCGTCGTCGTCGTTGTCGTCGTCGGGAGGTCGTCCTCGGAAGGTCTTCGTCGTCGTCGTCTTGGTCGTCGGCGTGTTCGTTGTCGTCATCGTCGTCGTCGTTGTCGTCGGCGGCGTCGGCGTCGTCATCGTCGTCGTCGTCGTCGTTGCTGTTGTTGGGAAGCCGTCGTCGGGAGGTCTTCGTCGTCGTCGTCGTTGTCGTCGTGGTGTTCTTGGTCGTCGTCGTAGTCGTCGTCGTCGTCGTCGTCGTCGTCACCGTTGTCGTTGTCGTTGTCGTCGTCGTCGTCGTCGTCGTCGTCGTTGTTTGCAGGTCGTCGTCGGGAGGTTTTCGTCGTCGCGGTCGTCGTCGTTGTCGGCGTCGTCGTCGTTGTCGTCGTCGTGGTGGTCGTTGTTGTTGTCGGGAGGTCGTCCTCGGAAGGTCTTTGTCGTCGTCGTCTTGGTCGTCGTCGTCGCTGTCGTCGTCGGCGGCGTCGGCGTCGTCATCGTCGCCGTCGTCGTTGCTGTTGTTGGGAAGCCGTCGTCGGGAGGTCTTCGTCGTCGTGGTTGTCGTTGTGGTGTTCTTGGTCGTCGTCGTAGTCGTCGTCGTCGTCGTCGCCGTCGTCGTCGTCGTCGTCGTCGTCGTCGTCGGCGTCGGCGTCGGCGTCGGCGTCGGCGTCGGCGTCGGCGTCGGCGTCGGCGTCGGCATCGGCGTCGTCGTGGTCGCGGTCGTGGCCGTGGTCGTCGTTGTCGTCGTCGTCGTCGCCGCCGTCGTCGTCGTCGTCGTCGTCGTCGTCGTCGGATCTTAGAGATGCTAGGCCCATATTCCCGACGTCATGGTTTTTTCATGACGTCGACTCCAGCAAGTCTTGACCACTTCCCCAGGGCCAGTTTCCCGTCCCGCGTATTTATTTTGACGGTCCCAGGGCCCGGCCTCCAGAGGCTGAACATCGCAGAAAGCCTCCCGTCGGGATTTTTTCTTTGCGCGAGGGGTTAGGTCGATCTTTACTGGGCCAACTTTGTCCCGTCCACCTGTCGCGGAGGCCCCAAACCGTGCGGTGAGCACACCGCGTGGGGAGTCCGCGGGGCCGCGCCGGGAGGTCGGCGGGGATCCCGAGGTCGCCACGCGGTCCGTGGCCACACGAGGAGGGAGGAGGGAGGAGGGGAGGAGAGGAGGAGGAGGAGGAGGAGGAGGGGGACCCGAGCTGGCCGCGCCCTCGGGCGAGGCGCGCCGGGCGGCGCGCCGCCTGAGCGTGCTCGCGGGCGGCGTGCTGGCCGGCGCCGGGCGGGCGCCGCGCCCGCCGGGGGGCGCGGGGGCGCTGGCCGCCCTGCTGCGCGACGCGGGGGCGGGCTGCGAGGAGCGCGCGGCGGCGGCGGCGGCGCTCGGCGCGCGGGCGGGCGCAGGAGGCGCGCCCGGGGGAGGGAGGCCACGGCCACGGGCGGCCACGGCCACGGCCACGGGCGGCCGGGGGAGGGGCACGGGCGGCCACGGCCACATGCCAGGCAGGGGGTCCCAGACATGATCGCGACGCGATCATGTCTGGGGCTGGATCCTCGCGACGCGATCATCTTTTGGCTGTTTTCGGCCCCGGGGGCCCCTCGCCGGGCCTCGGGACCGCCAAAAAACGATTCAGGACGAAGAACCGGTCCCGGGGAAAGGGTCGGGACTTCCAGGGACGCCGTCCTGAACAAAATCAGGACGTCGCATGTCTGGGGTGGGGACGCGGTCGACCAACGGGTGGCGGGTGCAGTCGGCCAGGAGGGAGTTCTGGCATCCAACCTCACATCCTTCCGCCCGCCTCGCTCCTTCTCCTCGTCCTCCTCGTCCTCGTCCTCCTCCTCCTCATCATCCGCCTCTTCCTCATCCTTTCCCACACCTCTTCTCCCCATCACCCTCCTCCTGATTGTCATCCCTCTCTGCAGTCTTCGGGATTCCTGGTCGCCTGGGCTGCGGACGCCAGGTCCTCCTTGGAAATTTAGCAGTTTTTTAAAGTTGAAAAAGTCTTGAGAGTTTCAGACAGCGAGGAATTGTGAAGTTGGATATTTGAATGTTTTTTGAATTCTGGGGTGGTTCAGAGATTTCGGGATTCTTTGTCGTTTGGACTGCGGACTCCAGGGCCCTGCATTTGTTTTAATTGAAAAATTCAAGAAGTTACAGCAATTTGCAATGTGTGAAGTTTTTAGACGTGATTTGTTTGAGATTCTGGGGTGTACGGGAACCCACAGGGCATGTCTCGGGAAGAGGCCAAAGTGAAGACAGGCGATACAGCGTACAGCAATATCATCAGTTGCGCAAGACATGCCCGCTTCATACCCGGCACAGGGCGCCTGACTGGCTGTGATTATGTGTAACATCACTTTTGTTACTGCATACCTTCTCTTCCTGCATGTTCGCTGTGTCCACTCTTATGCCACTATGTTGCAGAGTACCACGGTTCTGACATTGCGAAGCTCTATGTGGCGTGAGTGATCTCTTTCAGCCATTGTCCTTCACATGTTGACCTCGCGCTTGAGATGTACACAGTATTTCTCAGGCTTATTCTGTTGTGCGACGCACCCAGCTGAAAGCATCAGCGCATGTGACATCATACGGACAAGCACAATGACGGTACAACACCACAACGTCAAGGCAGCGCCACAGACCAACAACACAGCAGCACTGTACAAGAACCCAGCCCCAATTCCACCTATGCAGCAGCACCAGCATCGCCAGCATCACCACCAGCCACCAGCATCAACAGCGACCACGACGACAAGAAATCATGCAATCACCTGCCTCATACCCAGCATGGGATAACTGCAGGGCACACCTCGGGGACAGGCTACTGGGGATCTAAAAGCGATCCAGCATACAGAGGAACAGCAAGCGACGCACAGCCCAACTGGGCATACGTCGGGGAGAAGCCAAAAAATGGGTACACAACCGTCATTCCTATGCCGCACTTTCAACTTACACATCTCCCTTACTGTACATGTTGTTGTTTTTCCCTACAAGCGCCCTGGCTGTATGCAATCATGGTCTTGTGTCTTCCGCAAATCTCTTATCTTTGGCATACATATGTTCGGATTTAAGCGAGACCTCTCCAGTGATTATCTTCAAGCGTGGATCCCGCAGTTTCAGGGCACTCTCTCTTTTCGTGCTTTGGTCTGGCTTAGAGGATCCCAGCACGACGAGACAGCACACGCACATATAAGGACCCGCGCGAAGCAGTGCAACACGACGGAGTCAGCACGTCACTGCAGATCAGCACACAAGCAAAACCATAATAACATCAGCAGCACCACCACCGGCGCAGCAGCACCAGCACCTCCAGCGATTACAACGATTCAGAAACCATATTATCATCTGCCTTGTACCCGACCAGGGAGCCCTGCAGGGCATACTCCGCGGGAAGGCAACCACGAAACCAGGGACGCTACATCATGCAAAAGTACACAGGTGTACATGTGCTGCTCGCCTCATGCCCGTCACGGGCATCAAGTTGGTCATGCCTCGGGGAGAGGCATGAGGGCCCTGGGCAGCTATGCGTTTTCCGTGCTCAACGATTCAATCCCTTTTCTGTGCATTTCGCTGGATACAATAATGCCTTGATTGTACGCGCGTACTACACACGACTTTGAGTAATGGATGATGCCGTGGAGCTTAAGACACATCTCATTTCCCCGATCGATTTGGACCACTGGCGCAGTTCTACATGTACGCAGGGTGCGGAATTATCGATCGGTTTGCAGCGCAGTCCGGGATATGATTGTCAAGCAGATCAGGACAACTACAACGGGAAGTGCCACGACAAGCATTACAGCACAACCGCACGACATACCAGCACCGCAGACACCACGGCACTCGCGTCCAGCAGATCGACGCCACGCTCGCCCGTGCCCTACGGAGCCTACAGGGTCTACCGATTGGAGTGAGTGAAGGATTTGTGTTGGGTGCCTCACAGCTCTGCGTTCTTCGTAGGTCTAAAACGCATCCTTGCACATGACTGCCGTAAATCGCGATCGTCATCTTTACGTGACACCATGCATTCTGTTTTCTATATTTCGCCAAGCATTAGCAGTATAGCAGCATTACCGCAGCAGTCTTTGCCCGATCGATGACCAGCTTTGCCCCGCTTCTGGGGGCCCTCCATAACACGCTAACTGTCGCCATGATAGGTGGCGCGCGTGTTCCATGCTGACCTGCATAAGAGAAGTGTTCGCAATGCAGTTGGATGAGTTGCGTGGACCGCATCCAAAGAGTGTACATGACGTGCTCTCACAAAAGCGACGGCCATCTGACAAGAGAACGCGAGTGCCTATTTGAGACATACTACCGTTCCGCAGGCAAGGTCTACGACGACTTGGGCGACGCGCGTCGACCACTTCTCACAGGCAAGAAGCACAATCCGACCTACACACCACTACAACGCACCGCCACACCAAGCAATGACTGCGATCCGAACCTCATTCGGGGCTCACTTGCAAAGAAAATGCAAGCAAAGTGAGGTCACCAACGAGAGCCTGGACAAGACGTTCGTGTAATTTCCCCTCTGGCTCGGATGCGAGCATGCACCGGTTCCTGCGGGCAGTGGCTGGGCTTGCGCCGTCGAATCCAGCCGCGTCGCGGTAGCGTGCCGCTCCGACATATTCCACGCTTGCTTCCAGCTGTTAAGCCTGCGCTTGGGCGGCAGGCTTAGCATGTAGAAACGGGTGAGTTGGCGCGCCAGCGCTCGCAGCCTTTGGTCCCTGCGTTCCTATGACCTCCCATTGTATCGCCACATCCAGTGCAGGCGCGGCGGCGGGCCGCGCGTGCTCGGAGACGCACGGGGCCGCGAGCGTATCATATCATTTGCTTGGGCGTAGCTTTACGGCGGCGTCGATTGTGACGTGGCGCGACGCGACCTCAACGGCCCCGCTTCGACGGCGACGGCGCAGGAAAGTACTCGGAGGGGAACCTGTGCAATCTCTACATTCAACAGCTAACCAAACGCTACGTCTTCGCCGTCGGCGAGAAGTCCGCCATGGGGCGCGTCGATTATTGGTGTGGCGCGCGTGCGCATCGCGCCGCCGAAAGCTCGCGATCAAACGCTTCGTGGCATTCAAAACAGCGCCCGGCTACGTCGGCGGGCAATTCAACCGGACAGTGGAGAAGCCATCGTCTACGCTGGTCAACAAATTTCCACATCACCGCGTGGTACCAGGCATTCCGTCTGTCCACGCGATGCAGTCCACGCTCGCATTGCATCTGCCGCGCGCAGAAAGCGCAGGCCGAGTGCGAAAACCAGGCCGCAATGTCGGAGCAATGCGCTGGGCGTGCACCGTCTACGCTTCCGCGTGACATGCTACCAGTCATCGTCCTTCGTCGGCAAAATCCACCGCGGGGCCAATCCGACCGACCCTGTGCGCCACCTGCTTGGCCTCGACCTAGGCCGCCGCCCGAGTTCCAGATGCCTGCGCCTTCGTCTTTCACAATTGCGACACCTGCTGCTGCAGGAGCGACTCCTCCAGCGCCGGCGCCGAGCAACGCGCCGCCCGCCCGCGCCAGGCCGCCCCGCCGCCAACGACGACGACCAATGCGC